GAGGTCACCTACTACACCTGTGAACGGTTCTAACTGGCTAATTACCTCGTGAATAAATGCCGAGTTCTGCGTCCTTATCTTAAGCAACTCGATCTGCGTGTTTTCGGTCGCTTTCGATAGCTGCGTTTCTAGTTTCTGACGCTCCGCTTCCAATTTCTGTCTCTCCACTGCAGCCTGAGCAAGTTGGTACTCCAGCTTTTTCAATTCTTCTTCCATCGTAATTGTTATCAATTGATTAGAAGCTTGTGTGAGTTCGCCAAGTGATTTTTCCGAAATTCACGATACTATTAGCCGCGCGATAAAATTCGGAATTCCTCCCGGCTTTCGGCACCACTTACGATTAGACTGAAAGACTGATCGAAAAAAAAGGGTTTTAGGGCATAGTAACAGTACACAGGTTCGTGAGCAACTAACTTTATTATTTACTTCATCCCATATATATAGTAACAGTTTGTTTTCACTTACAATGCTTTGTTAATCCTATCAGTAACATAGTTCTTATTATTGTTTATGGCTTATATACAGCTAACTCCTATACAACCTTACACTTTTAATAATTTGTCGGGTGTTGATTTATTGTTAGTTTTCAGACTTCTTCAATATTAAAGTCCATTATTTTATTACCGGAGATGATTTTTGTGAAAATACAGTCGATTTTATGATTACAAGTTTACGCGCGTATATTCATTAAACAGATCAAAAATTAAAAGCATAGTTTTAAAACTATGCTTCCCTTAATGGAGATTCCCTATAGTGAATATCGAATAACTCCATTTTGTTAAAATAAATCGAAACGTGACTAAGAAATCTAAAAATCGGTAATACTTTCAAACACTAGGCATAGTTTTATGACCACAAAGTAAAAATTAAATATAGGTATGAAATTATTAACTATACAATACATTTATTTGTAATAAATAAATATTTTTCAACTAATAATCAATGAATCAATTATTCATTCTTTAAAAGGTAACACATATTATTTTCACTTGCCTATATATGCATTATATAGCGAGGGAAAATTTTCTAATCTCAGTTTTCAACGAAATACGTGTTTTGAGATCCCCTGAGTCAAAATAACCAAGTCCCGCAAATTGCTCTGTGGGTGTGTGTGTGACCAGCCTAGCTCAAAAATGAAAAGTCTTATGAAACTTAAATTGCGTATTTAAGGTTTGTATATGGTTCTGATGTGACAGCAACTATTTCGTTAAAATCGGCTAACCAGAAGTGCCTCTTTATATCAACGGTGAAACACATTTTTACGATTTTCTCAAAAACGGCTCTAAAGATTTTTATTAAAATCTGTGTATTATTAAGTTGGTTTTAATATCAACTAGGTCTTATTCACATTGATGTCACTTTCAGGGATTAAATGCCCAATTTTCATATACGACTTCATCTGAAGTATCTTTAATTTGTTTTTTTTTTGTTTGTTTTTATATAACTTTTTCTTATTGATATTAACTATAAACATAGTTAAATAAAACTTTTGAAACAGTTTTATAATTGACTAAAGTTGAAAAAAAGAAAAATGCTTATCCAGGTCGAAAATGATTCGTCGGACAAATTAGACAGAAGGTATACGTATAATATATCGTTGGAAAGTAGAGAATTTTAGAAAAAAAATAATATCTGATAAATGAAGTTGTAGAAGGTAACGGAGAGTGACGAAAAAAATATAAATAATGATTTCTGAAAAATATTATTATTTAATCACACATTTCCAAGAAAATTAAATGGAATTTTTTTACTAAATGTAAACGTTTAAAATATTTTATTTTTTATTTAAAATAAAGTATTTAAAATCCACCGAATCAAGGCAATGACATTGTTTAAAATACTACTTCATTGTTGTTGTGTGAAATAACAGTGAAATATAAAAATCTAAATGTAACCATAAATACATTTACTGTATTTTAATAAGTCTAGATCTGATATTATATTTAAATAATTAGGTATCTATCGTCCGTTTATTCCAAAAAATCATCATGTAAACTTTTAGAAAATTAAATAAGTGATTAATTTGATGAATTTGCCCTAAGTGATATCCCTACAGTATCCACTAACAATGAGTGTGACAACAATTGACCTAACTATGACAGGCAATGTAAATCTCGCAATTCCATTTTAGTAACGTTTGAAATGGAAAATAAGAGTTTAATAACTAATATTCGTACAATTCATAATCGACCTTTGATATAATAAATAGGATTTCTGTTATTTTAATGGTATTAGGTATGGTAAGCTTTAAGATTTAGCTCTGTTAAAATTGTACTTCAAAAATTTTATAATAGCCCAACATTGTCATAAAATAATTTAAATTCAAGTAAAGCGGTATAGGTGAAAGTTGTGTGTTGCGCGCAAGAGATTTTTTTTCGTTTATTTGTGATCCGAAGAACAGGTATATCTCTCCATCCAAAGAAGGACATCTAAAAATATCTTGTATTAGTTATCTTTATGATATATTAAAAAAGATTTCTAACAGATTACCATTTCTAAATGACTTTTTAATAGTGACTAAAATATGTTTTAAAAACGTCTTGAATCCGGTATTTGAATGACATCTTTTACACGATGAAAATAGCCTGCTCGAAATGACTATATGGTTATAATAGACGTTCATCACCTTAGTTCAGGTTTCATATAAAAATTGTGATGATATCTCATTCGAATAGATAGCAAAGAAAATAGTTATTTTTTATGATTATGGATTGATGAAGTTTGAAAATCGATAACATAAAAGAAGTCTCGATAACAAAGAAGAAGACTCGATCAGGATAAGTGAGTACATTTTATGATTTTGTAAACTAATCTGACATAACAAACTGAAGTATAATTTTTTACAACTGCAAATAGAATTCAATGTCATTGTTCATTAAGAAAATGGGGAAAGAAATCATGAAAAACTGAAGAGAAATGCTTTATTTGCTATCTGCATCATCAATAGCATCTATGGATTTTATGATTTTAGATAATGTTTCCAATAATGTGGACATAGCAACAGATGAGTTGTAAATTCGTGGTTGCAAAACTGATGTTTGACACGAGAGAGGCAGTCAAATAAAATTAAATAATTCTTGTATATGATGTAAGCCTTAATCTGTTAGGTTATTTAGAGCACTTGTGTTGATATTGTAACTCATAAATTTTTATTGTTATCTTAGAACATAGAATTCAGTCGTATGCATCTCGCTAGCAATTGTATATTATGTTGTAATATGTAATAATAAAACAATAATATAATATTATAATAGTTACGGCTAAATTTTAGGTTGATATTTTGTAATTCATTGACATGTCTTTAAATAAATAAATTATATTCAACAAAGACGTTTCTATTTATATTTCCTTGTAAAACAATAATTATTTTTTAATAATCTTTTTGAAGATATTATGATGATGTCTTTCAGATGGTCTTTTTAGGATATAAAAAAGATGCCATTCAGAAATGTTGCATATAGCGTTTAGATGCCTTTTCTGGATATCGTGTTGATGTACTTTTTGGGTTGGTTTAAAAATGGATGAAACCAGCGCATCAGCCATCTTTTTGATTTCTCAAAGATATCTTTCGGTATATCGTTTAGACATTCCATATCTTTTTCAAGACATCTCTTAGAAATATTTTGCATACATTTTTGCTGATTGGGTCTTATCTACGAAATTGATTGACAAACTTCCATGCTGCTGCTGTTAACACTTTTTTTTCCAAAAGGCATTTTTAACCCTTTGCCTTTAGGCTTCCCAGATAATACATTGATGCTTGAGTATGGAGACAAATATAAGTTTATCCATCTTTAAATTTTTTTTCGCGATTTATGTTGCATTTTCAATAATTTGTATTTTTTTTACCGCACACTGCGTTGCTTTTAGGAGTATCATAAAACCGAAGAAGTTAACACACTGGGGCTAAAAAACACAAAAAGAATAATTTCATTCTTAACGTAAGAAAAAACAAATAGAGCATGATAGAATATGGAAATGGATTCTGTTTTAAACTAGAAGTTAGTTGGCTATGAAATAGAAAATCCGAAAATTGCAAACAAAAGAGTGAATCAAGTTTTGGAATGGCATTGAACCTTCGAGTTCGTTAGATCTTGTATTTTATGTATTGCTATTATTATTATATTTTGATCAGTGCAGCTGATGATAACGACCAGGGATGCCCGTCTCCTCCAAGGCCGATAGCGCATAAATCTTCCCCCACCACTCCCAAGATATTTTATTCCTCTCTCATTCTTAAAGACAGTGCAAACGAAAGTTGAATTTAAATATTGGTAGATTATATACAATTACACATCCTGTGGTCTGTTCCAGGCTTCGACTTGTCTTCTAATTTGAAACTTTTCGTTTTGAAAATTCACAACTCCCTCAAAAACTGAAAACTCCGTTAAAAATTGCCCCCTCATAATTTTGATGACCCCCTTTTGGGCACCCCTGGTAATGACCTTGCTAGCTAACAGACGACGGACTAATGGCTGAACGGTTAGCCGGGAGAAGTGCCTATTTTATGGTATGTATATTTTCACAATTTTTTTTTAAAAAGAAAACAATGGGTATACCTAAAATAAAACTAGCGATAGCACAAAACACTGGTATGCACCAAATATGCAAAACTACGCCTCCTTCCCCCACTCTATAAGAATAACCATTATCAAATACCAGAATTACTAAACTTAGATGTTTTTTTCTTGAAAATGTTGTTTCAGAAATAAGAGCGAAGAAGAGTTTAATGTGAAGGCGACAGACGATCCTTTAAATAACACTTTCTCCAACTTTGTTATGAAGTTTTGCAAGCACTTTAATTGGTCATGACCTTCTAAATATTCTTTCATTTATTTTGTCAAGCAATAAAGCAATAAAACAGGCAAATACAACATATTTTATGAATAAATCGAAACTCAAGGATTTATGATAATTGTATGTTTACATCATGAGCAAACCAAACATAAACTAACAAAAATTAATCTAATCAATCACTCATAATAATTTATTTCTGATAATCATTGAGACTCCTCCTTCATTCCACCAATATCCTCAACCCCTATTTTCTCACCGATTGCTCTCAAGAGTTGGGCCTGCTTCTCCCGGACTACCTTCTTGCTCTTAGGCGGTTCTTTCTTGAGCCTGCGATCCAGGTTCTCCAAGTAGCAGTCTTTGAGCTGGCTCACTATCTTCTCCACTTTCTTCGGGTTGTCGTATCCTATCATCGCTGCCATCCTTTTGCTGTCCATCAGCCCATCTAGTAGCTGCGGCCACTTCTTCAAGACCGTCCTTGTCGCAGCGGCTTCCTCGGCGGAGAATTCGGGCATCGAGAACAGCTTTAAATAATTCTTTATGCTTATCATACCGTCTTTGTCCGGGCTCATGACCTCTATCATCTTATCTATAGCTTCATCGGTCAACATCTTTCCCGACAAAATTTGTTTCATGTTCTTCTTTAGGTTATCCTTATGAACCTTGCCTCTTCCTTCAGGTTCCAAAGCTTGGAATAAGTCTTTAATCATATTCTTATAGTCTGTGGTCGCTTCCATATTAGCACTGTTTAGGGAGTATAAAATTATCAGGACAATTTATCAACTATATATGTAAATATCCTCAGAGAAGATGTTTATTCAATGATTAAATACTTTCACTACTATTAAATTAAGACAGAACATATGTACAAATGTCCATTAATACTAACTTTTTTTTTTTCATTTATTACCATATGCTTAAGTTTCTAACTGAGTTTTTCATTTTCAATAATATTTTGAACTACCAAAAGAAATAAAAAAATTGATAACCTCTCAAAATTTGAGATTTTACTTTTCTAGATACGTAAAACCTAAAATCGAATCCATCAGCGATACTATGTTCACGAGTTTTCTCTGAGAATATTGAACTAATATTTTTTAAGATTTGGAATTAAAGTCCACAGATCCTTGCAGGATGACCCTCAAAATTCGATATTAACATCCACCGTTTAGTTTTAAAATGGTGAGCGATCGGAGGTTTGAAAAAAAATGTTAAATTAATGATTCACTTTTAATTACTTGGCAATAATAAATCATACCGAAATAATTTGCAACGTTTTTCTAAGAAAGGAGGACTGGTAAAAGTATGGGATACTATGGATGTAAGGGGACTTAATTTCTATAGGATAAGTGATGTGTTAAAAGAAGCTTCCTCAACATGCAGCTAGGAAAGGCATGTTCTTAGTATAGTTGTCATCTCCTGATTTTGTTAAAACCTTGATTTTTTTTTTATTGATTTTTTTTTACAGATTCTTTACAACTTTGTTCTTTTATGTTCAAATTGATCTTATTTCTGTAGTAAAAAAAAAGTAGATACTCCACATCAGTACAAAGGGAGAAATTGTAGCAATTTTTATAGTTGATTCCGATCTGAATTCTACCAATATTTAATTTTTTTTTTTTTTTGTGGTCTGTAAATCCAGGATGACAAAGCCAGTTATATTAAACCAGGAACTGCTACTCCCTCCTATCCCTCCTCCTGGAAGAAGAGCTACGATGAATGTTTGATCCAGATGATGCTGGTCCATCAGTAGTGAATGAGGATATTGGCACAGAATATTATGTTGTATTTTTTACTCATTTTTTTCCTAAATGAAATAAACTTCCAGATCCAAATCTGAGGCTTGTATCATTTCTTAGTTTCAATAATATTCCAAACAGGTGAATAAAGCATGGGACAACTACTCTTCCTCCCCCCAAACCTCCGCTGAGGTACAAAATTGAGATTTGTAGTTTTTTTTAAATCTTCCAAATTTCCAAGTATACTTATAATTAACAAAATTTATAATTTCGAGGAAAATAATTTTACTTAACCCTTACACCTCTACTCCATCACATCCTTACACCTCATTTTGATTTTTTCGATGACGTTTCAGGCAATTTTGCCAATTTTCAAGTCAAAATATTTATCTATAATATTATAATACAATAATTACAAATATATATGTAAAAGACATAACAGCACAGAAATAATAATCAATGAAAATTACAAAAAGTCAAATTAATGAATAAAATCTCTACTAACATCATTACCCTATCATCTATGTAATATTATTTTTTATATAACCATTGTAATATTTTTCTTTTTTCTTCTCCTCATATTCTTCTAATATTAATTTCATAACTTATTTATGAAAAGTCGATTCTAAAATTTTTTTTTTATTATTATTTTTTTTTATTTGAAAAATAATACATTCTACCGCATTGGAGGGCATTAATATTAGGGCTACATTAAACATTCACACAATACACACATACAAATGATAATATAGGTAAAAAAAAAAGAAAAGAAAAAAAAGAAAGAAAAGCTAAATAAAATTAAAATATTTAAAACACATTCATACCTATATATAATAAATTCTAAAAATGAAAGACAAGACGTCTCAAATAAGAAAATACTAAAATAAGGGATTTGTATTCTATGAGTTGGTCAGAATATGTGAAGAAACATCAATGCTACAAAAATGAGTTTTGAGTATCAAAATATAAACCTGCTCTGAAATCAATATCAATATTACAGTTAGCACAAATAGTATGCTTTTCAAAATTCAGTATACATCGTTCATAGGGACAAATTTTTTTTACACTTGATAAAACAATTTCCTGACAAAAGCAAAAACAGTGCCTATAGCAATATCTGGTGGTGAAATTCATCCTTTGTGCATTACACAATTTTCACTTACAAAACTACATATAGTAGAAATCAATTTCCAATAAATCAATAAAGTATATTACTTTAACAATAAATACAGGGTGTTTCAGGGTTAAGTGGTCAAACTTCAAAAATGAATTAAGGATCTCAAAACAAGAAAAAAAATTTCTCTGAAGAAAGGTCCGCAAATGCTTTGTTTAGAAGATATTCACACCTACAGATTTTCGTTTTTATGAATTATTTATGTTATACGAAATAAATGAAACCTATTTATTTGTTCTAACTACTTTATTAATTAAATTTAAACATTAACATTCATATTACATTTTGTTCAAAGTGATTTTCTTGAGCATTAAGACAGGCTTGGCATCTTTCTTCAACAGCAGCAGTGGCAGAACGGCACTGGATATGTTTAATTGTTTCACAAGATTCAATTATCCTTCTTCATAAGGAATTAAGGTCATTGATAGAACTTGCTTAGACTTTTTGTTTAATGTCCATAGATTCTTGGACATGAATATAAATATAAATGAAACAGGAATACTAAAAAGGTCGTGGTGTAAAAAAGAAATAACGAGCAACAGAAAACTAAATTTATATAGTAACCATAACACAACAGAAAATCAATACAGCTAAAAATTTAATTGATAGAGCCAAATTAATTAGAGATGGAATACATATAAAAGAAATAAAAACTCAAATACATGAAATTATCTCGAAAATTAGTATTCTATAAGACTGATAAATAAATTATGGCACAAAGATAAAATGGAAAAAATGATGATAATAATAAAGAATTAAAGGGTCCAAACATCAATCCAAATATAAAAACTAATCATAACAACACCAAAATTAAAAGACCAAATCTAATCACAAACTATTTTAAAGTAGATAATACTAAAAAACAAAAGCATAATAAAAAAAAATGCTGATCTACAATTTCAGTATGAGAAAAATAAGAATATGAACTCAGAGCCCAACGCCAAAGAATATTTTTCTTTCACTTAAAAAAATATGATCTAAATGAAATAAAATTTGGGAATAAACCAATTAATAAACTAGGAAAATTATACAATAGGACTATGGATATTATTTCTATGGAAAAATTGACTAATATTATATAGAAAATGCAATCCGAGGATTGTGAAAATAAAGCACATTACGATACCGACAAACCTCACAATGGTTTGAACGTAGGATACAACAACATAAACAGAATTGCAGGTCTTTTTGTTTTCTTTTCTTATTTGTTATTATTTATTTGTAACTTTTAGAAGTAAAAAAAATGATATTCGATGAAATATAAAAATGATAAACCGACAAATTATATTATAATGATACATTTTAAGAAATTTTATGAAGCGGTGAATGGTAGGTAGATAATAAATTTTGCATTAATTTTAATCAAAATGTTATGTTATACAAATTTTTTATAATATTGAATTTAGAATATGTATGTAACTTATTGTTATAAAATTAATATGTGTTTTATAATGATATAGTATAAAGTATTACAATTAAATTAAAATTAGTTTGCAGGATCTTGAAAATGGCTCCTGAAGCTGAAACGTCGAATAAATAATACATGATGTGATAATGGGTATATTTGGTGACCTCTGACCTAATTTAAAAAATAAATAAAAAATGGCACCGAAAATAAAAGATACTAGAAAATATAAAAATTCTGTACATTGTATATTTTTGTTGCTGAAATAAATTTCAAAAGTTGGAATTTAGTTTTTATAGAAATATTGATTTTCTATTCAAGTAGAATAGTTATTAGTCATTATTTTTCCATTACTCTCCATAACTTTCCTACAGTATGCTTTCAACTACAGTATATTTATTATACATCTATAATACTGAATTTATTTCTGGAAACTTTTTTTCAACCTGGAAAAATAATTCTCCTCGTTGGTTTATGTGGTGTGGCTTTGGCTTCTGCTGTTTTTTTGGTAATCTATTTCTTTATCATATGTCGATGTGTTTTTCTGGGTTGGTGGGTCATTGTATTTTTTTTGGTTGGGTCGGGTGTTGTTTGTGTTGGTGTTTTTGTGGCTGGGTTGTCGGGGGCTAGGTGTTTGTGTCCGAAAGGTGTGTGTTGGTTATGGGTTGTGGTAGGGATGTGGTGTGTGTGGGGGTGGATTTTGCATGGTGTGCAAGGTCACTTGTTGGGTTTTGTTTGGTGGTTTTCTTGGTTAGTCTTGGAGGTGGGAGTGGTTGGGGTGGGAAGTATTTTTTTTTGGGGAGGTTTGTTGCTGAAGTTGAGTAAGGTTTAGGGGGTGGGGTGGGGATGGTGGTTTTGAGGGTTAGGGTGTGGGATGTGGGGTGGGTTGGGTTTTGTTTTTGTGTGGGGGGGATGGGGGTGGGGGCAGGGGAATGTGAGTAGGTGTTTTGGTGTGGTGGGGTATTGTTGTTGGATGGTGTGTTGGTATGAGGGGGGGGGTGGGTAGGTGTGGATGGAGGTGGGTTAGTGATAATGGGTTTGGCCTGCGAGTAATACACAAATACTCACTGATAACAAGATGAAACAGAAAAAAACTCAAATTACCTGTCTGAATTATTAGTTAACATTTGAGAATTTGAACATGCACTAGACATTGAAAAAGCTAGGAATTCTAAGGAGCCAAAAGGAAATTCTGTTATGGCTGGTCAACAATACATAGATGAATCCCTTAACATGCTAAAATAGATGAATTTCACTTTGAAGAAGTAATTGCATTTAATAGACAGGATTTATTCAATTGCTTTGAATTTATTCAAAGATGCAGTTCTGTGATAAAGATATAATTTATTTGGAAGATAGGTACTATCTGTTTGTGTAATCTAATATTGATCAAAATCTGATACTGAACTAACAATATCTATGAAGCTAAAAATGAGCTACAGAAATTACAAATGTTTAAAAAACTATTGTGTCTTGAGAGAATAACAATTATTAATTCCATCATTGGTTTTTCTAACTAATAAATTAAGGAACGCTATTATAAAGTAGGATCTATCCTAAAGCGACTTTTAAAAATACTTTTATAGCACGTGCAACTATAATTTGAAAAATAAAAATAATATCTTGATTTAAACATCTATGACAAAATGTACAGCTTCACAAAATGTAGTCATAAAAAGTCTATATTATATTAAAGATTAAATCATAATGTTTCATCATTGTCAAAACAGTAAGTGAATAAGGCAATTTGATGCTTTCCACATATACATTTATTGAATTTTGTAAAACTGACAGACTTTCAGTCTTTGTCACACCTCATTATTTTTATTTTATATTATATTATTTTTCTTTTGGATAATTTGTTTAGAAGTGTCGCTATTGTATTAGTAGGCTTCAGAGATGGTGTTTCAGAGCCTTTTGCCCAAATAGTTTCATAATATTTTCCCAACTCAAAGTTTATTTCAAAACATTGGGTTGTAGATTCTTCTATGTCTTCTTCCACTACAGATATAACGCTCACATCGTCATCATTTGGTATACACTTGTCCTCTCTGAGCATGAATCATCCACAACATTATCCCTTTCATTTTCCGATTTTTTCTCTTGGCAGCAAATTTCTTCTAAAACCTCTTTAGGAGAAATAAATATGTATTTTTAGTCCATAGTGAATTTCAAAAATACAAAAACAAATGAATTTTAAAAATGCTCACACATAAATGGTTGAAAATGCCACTTTCTCGACTAGTGTGGCTTTATTGATAGCTAAAGGGACTCTAGAGAGGAGGGTATCTCAAGCTAAAAGAAAATTCCTGAGGATCTTGAACCACTTCAACAATACATGTAGCTACAGTCAATTTGGCCCTAGCCTTACAAATTGAGGGTTAAACTTAGTGATTCTAAAAAAATAATAATAATATAGTTTGTAAAGGATTTCTTATTTTTGTTTTAAATCTGGTGAGGTGTATCACACAACTTTCTCTATTTTTAAAAGTTAATGAACCTTACAAATACTACTTTAATTACAAATACATTTTATTTATTTATAAATAAATAAATTTATTACAAATACATACTAAAGAAATGAATATAGACCATGACAATTCTGTACTATATATGTTTGGTTTGTCGGGATGAGATTAAATTTTAAAGTTTACCATTAAATTTTCCATGTAAATATTTATGTCTCATTTGATAATGTAAAGTAGGATTTATTAATTATTATTATGATTGTAATCGTTAACTCCTAATAGATCATGGGCATCTACAAATGTGTTCCATTCCACTCTTTTTACAGCAATCATTTTTCAGCTTCTGGTCAAGTCTTGCCAGTCCAGCTAAGGTCATTTTGCACAGTTATCCATCATGTTTCTCTTGGTCTTCCTCTTCTTTTTGTTCCTTGGGGATTCCATTGAAGAGCTTCTTTTTCAATCACACTATCAGCTTTACTTAAAGTGTGTCCAATCCATTTCCATTTCTTTTTCATTATTTCAAGATGGACAGAAAGCTGTTCAGTAGTATTCCAGAGCTCTTCGTTAGGAAGAATTTATCAATTACTATAATTAAAAGTTATTAGTTTTTCTAAATTCTTTATTACTTTCTAATACTGAATATGTATGTTAGAAATAAATTGTTCTAAAATTTTTGGATTTCTAATGGTATATCATACATTTATATTACTAATTGAATAATGGGAAAATTCTTTTCAACCAGTGAAAATATTTCTCCTTATGTTCATTATCAAATTCTTTCATAGTTCATATTTATCCATTTTACATTACTCCTGACCCTTTAATGACTTGAAATAATAAAAATTAAGCTACTTTAGTGGAATACATTTTCTTTTTCCTCCCAGTAACTGTTCAATGAAGATAAGGCCTACCTAATAATAAATACCAGTTAACTTTACATATATACAACAAATTTAGTCAAAATTGTTAGAGCCATTTTTGAGCAATGTGTGTAAAGTCTAAAATATAAAGTGGCACTTCTGTAGGTTGATTTTAGCGAAAATGTTGTTGTAACATCCCAGATATATACCTACATTAAATTCGCAACTATAATCTATCTTACTATAATTAAATTGTGTAAAAGCTATGAAGGTTGACCCTAACTATAAACTGGCTGTTATTATAATTTGATAGTTTTTGAAGAACATAAACAGGATGGATATGAGTATCTCAGATAGGTTATTTTAGCACTAAGAACGTAGGAAGATAAAATTTTAAAACTCTTTAAAAAAATTGGTGACATTTTAATACTAAAGATTTTGTATTAAATTAGGGATGAGATGGATAGTTGTTTAGTTGGACCATATAAATAATAATAATACGAAATATTTGCATTAAGAAGCTTTAAATTTAGACAACATTGTAATCATGAATAATATATCTAACATTGACATAATCTTAAATTCAATCAGTGAAATAAAGCCTTTTGTGCAGGTTGTAACTATTGCAATAATACATTAAAAAACAGTAGAAAAGTTGGTTGGGGTATTCAGTCAAAATAAAAAGTAAAAATAAATAAGTTATATTTATTTTCTTTTTTCTTTTGTATTCTGAATGAGCACCCAACCAAATTATCTTTTATTATTTACTACAGTCAACTAGTGATAGGCAAAACTGTTATCATGAGTAGCATTTGCAACAGTTTCTCCTAAGTTCAAAAAAACAGATACGAGTGTTTCAAAAATTTGAGGAATAAAAAAAAAAAAAATCTTGTCTTCTGTTCCCTTTACACTATTTTAAAAGATATGAATATAATTTTTATCTTAAAAGTAATTATCGATTTAATTGTTAAATTAATCCTGTATCGTGACATATTTTATAGATAATAAGTAAGTTTATTGATGAAAATAATGAGAAAGTAGTAATTAGATAGGAAAATGAGTTGATGAAACTGTTCATAAGTTGCAATAGTGCAATGGCCGGTGTTTCATTGAAACTACTATCAAAACAGTTTAAAATACAGTAGAGGTGTATCTGTTGCAGGAAACTCTTTATATTGAACACCTTTCTGTATCTGTTTCAGAAAACTGTACGTACCTGTTGCAAGAAGCTGTTTAATGAAACAGGTTTCTGTATCTGTTTAAATTAAACAGCTTCTGCATCTGTTTTTAGAAAGCAGTTTAATTAAACAGATTCAGTGTTTCCCTCTTTTCCCGTCAATATCGCTGTCTCACCACCTACTAAAACTGTACTGTGATGGCTTGGTAGCTTCCTAAACTTACAGCTGAGTTCATCGATGGCTTCATTTAGTTTACTTTAGAAATCTATTCGATGCCATCAGTGATTTCAGAGCTGATTGTAAGAACGTGCCCCTTCCTAATGAAAGATAATCCTTATGTCTGTTTAATCTCAAATGAAACAGTTTGCCATATCAGTTTAATGAAAGAAACTGTTTAAATTAAACAGATCGCTACTAAACACCCCACCAGTACAGTCAATCTCAACCCACTATTACATTCAAAAATAATTTTGACAAATCATTATTAAGAAATTTATATCATTACTTTATGGCCAAACAAGATATGTTCGTTTGTATACAGTAGTAAGCAATTAAAAACAGGCTAAAAAGTGGAATATTAATTTTTAAAAATGCAAAAAAAAAAAAACAGATTCCATAAAACAGATTATTACAAAATGAATTTATGTAGGTTTTTTATTAGTTTTCCTACTGTCAAAAAACAAAGGATTGGTACTTAAGTTAATAATTTTAGTATTACTGTAGTGTAAATGTTATACACCAAAACAGGACCAATTATTATCTACATACTATAAATTGTAAATATCATTAAATAAACTTATTATTATTATTATTATTGTTACAAAAAGAAAATTTTTGATTGCCAATTCACTGTAAAACGTTTTTATCCTTTGATAATATAGAAATAAATATAAACTATAGAACTCTGACAATAGATAGCTTTTCCCTAATGCATTTAACATATAAACGACATCAGGGAAACATGTTTAGTAGTATATACATTATGATATTAGCAAGATCGTCTATTCAGCAAAGATGATTGGTGAAGCTTCATAATTTATCACGACTGTTAAAGTAACAATTCACTATATAAATAATTTGCTTGTATCCAATAGCGGATCCAGGATTTAATTTTGGGGGGGGGCTTCAGCCCGAAACCTTTTTTTTTTCATAAAAATAACGATAATTACTTTGGAAAAACAGAAAGAAACTAACTACCTATATGAAATGGTGTTTAAGTTATTCCTTAAGTACTTTTAAACGTAATTACACGAACAATAATACTTTAAGAGGTATTTTTAAAATTTTTTCCCATAAAACATGGTTATATTTTTCCATTTTGGAGGGGAATTCAGCCCGAAAGCCCCCCCCCCCCGAAGATCCGCCCGTGCTTGTATCACTAAAAAATATCCCTCCAATTTTATAGCTATGCGATAAGACACACATATTCCAAAATTTATTCTCATCTTATATTTTACTCACTCAAGACTTACCATTATTATTATTATTACGGTGCTGCAACTTGGTGACGAGTCTTGGCCTCGTCCACCAGCTTCCTCCAGTCATAGCCAGTGGCCATCATCCAGCTCCTGACTCCCAGGGCATCCCTTGAATCTCTAATCTGATAAGGTTCTGTCAGGATCATACTAGGGATTGCCTCATTCTCCATCCTTGCCACATGGCCAGCCCATCTCAATCTTTTAAGCTTCATCCTCAGAACAACGTCGTGATCAGTAAAGTTGTGCAAATGTCGGCATTTGTCCGTCTTCTCCAATTTCCATCAATCTATACTCCTCCAAATATTCTTTGAAGAATTTTTTTCTCAAAGTTTAGGAGGTCTTGCTCAAAATTTTTTAGTTATGTTTCTGAAGCATAGAGTAGGACTGGGTGAATTAGTGTTTCATAGAGATGTAGCTTGTTATGCTGGGATAGAAGGCAAGAGGTGAATTCCTTGCTAAGGGTAAAGTAACATTTGTTAGCCATAAATGTTCTTTTCTTGACCTCGACCTCGGATGCATTGTATAGTGTTACAAGTGACCCAAAATACTTAAACTGCGCTACTTTCTCAAAGTTAAAGGGGCCAGTTTTGATGGAAAGACTTACCATTAACCAGGATTATTTTATGGCTAGGGGATGACTATGCACGAGAATTTTAAATTTAAAATCATCTCGTGGACTGGAATGTAGTTATATAAAGAATAAAGGAAAATTGTCTGAATACAAAAATGTTTCAGCCTGTTTTATCAAGTAATTTAATATTCAAAATAAACTCTAGTACTTAGTCATCCTCCTAGCCCCAAAGCAAACCCTGGTTTGTTGTATTTATTTTTAGGACTAAGGTTTGTAGTTCTTTTATTTACATAGTGTATAGAAGCCATGGCTGAGTATTTCTTTTATTTAATAAAAATATCACCAAGTTTCTGTTCCCAAAGCCCAAGGGATCATAAAGTTATTCTCTTACATTTATGTTTTCAATAGATTTTTAGTTCACCGAAGACTATCCTAAATAGCAATTTTTCAATAATTAAAACCTAAACATTTAATAAATACCCCTTGACAAGAATAACACCTCACAGGTTCGCAACAAAAATTATGACTTATCTCAAAGCCAATATTTTTTTCGTGCTTTCAAATGCAAGGCATGCAGCTCAAAAAATTAATTTAAGTTTCTGAACAGTTTAATTTACAGTAGCAAAATGGATATGGATACAATATAAGGATTGTATTATAATTATTATAAAAATTGTATTTCTCTACTTGAATTACAAAAAATAAAGTTGTACTTTAGTTATTAAAATAATAAAGGGAAAAAAAAACAAGAGAAAACTTGCAAATCACTTTTAAATTTTTTTTGAAACTCTAATGTTGAATCATTTAGATGTTCCAGTCAATGATAACATTGAAACCTGATCTTTAATATGAACTTACGATAATATTATGTAAGTAGTATTCTACTATTGATGCTGTAAAATGGGGACACTGAGGAAGTAACAATTCCAAAACTACAATAATTTTTATGATGACCTAAAGAAAATTTGTGAATATTTTTCCTATGGAATTAGAAATTAGTTCTTTATAAAACAGAAAGTTGTTTTTAAAGTGATTCTAATTTTGGAAAAAACATTACCCCCAATGTTTAAAGTTCCCTAGTTTTATGGCATCATCCATAAAGTACCAATTATTGAACAAATGATAAATTAAATGTAAATATTACATATAAAAAGTTATAAGCACGTTTTTAATCATCCTGATATTCATATTCAACCATTACTAAGTTGTTTTTTTCTTAGAACCAGTTGTAGCTCTTATAGTTTTCTAGTTTTTATAATAAAATAAACTCTTAGAATCTAAAATCATTTCATAGAACACTAATGATGTATCTATTCAAAAGTCCTACACTATTAAAGCTCATTTTTGATTATAACTTCAATACTTAAAATTTTATAATTGTTCTCTAAAAGAATAGCTGAAGAAGAATTTAATGGATGGTTTAGAACTGGAAATAGATAACTTTATAATCTTTAAGGCAGTTGAATGTGGAACTTGAAATTATAATCAACAGAATAATAAGTCAGAGTTTTATGATAATTTGCAATTTATACTTGAGTTTTTATTATTTATATTTAGAAGAGATGGATATTAAAAATTGAAACCAGTTTTTCAATAGCTATTTGCTGATGAATTAGTGGTTAGAGATATTGACTCATTGCCAAAAAAATAAGCTGAAAATGTTTTCTAAGATACATAGAAATTAAGATTTTTTCTTTTTCCCTTTCGTTGGCCCAAGACTATCACTGAAGTCCTATACTGTCCCTATTGTTATGATAGAATGGAGATATGGATGTACATTATTATTATTTATTTATTTATTTATTTTTAAAAATCTGTTTTGGATTTTTCTGCGGGGCGATCTACGGAGTGGACTTTTGGGCTGATGCCTCCCCAGAACGGTAAAATATAACCATGTTTTACGAAAAAAATTATCTCTAAAAGTATTATTGTTCGTCTAACTACACTTAATAGCACTTAAAGAATCACTTACACACCATTTTATATAGGTAGTTAGTTTCTTTCTTTCTTCCAAAGTAATTATCATAATATATACATCCAAAAAAAAATCTTTTGGACTGAAACCCTTCTCTTCCCAAATTAAATTCTGGATTCTTTAGTGGATTCTTCCATGAATTTTCACAATGATTTGATAGCATCCCTATCTAGATCAGCCTTGGAGGAAAGCGCTATTGTTTTGGATGAGGGGATATTTAATCCGGTATTTATCATATCTTCTGCATTTTAGAAAAATTAGTGAAATGTTCTTTACCTTTCAAACTTGACTCCCAGGCATAATTATCCTGCCATTTACTAATAAAGTATTTTTTCACCCATTTACCAATTTCCTGTAAAGGCAGTTTTGTATTTTATGCCATTCCAGAACACTGTTTTGCAATCATTTCAGCTCGTCCATACCTATACAAACCCATATGACCTGGAGCCAGTTGAACCTTAAATTTGTTATTTGCTAAATGATTAACTTTATTGTGTTATATATTAGGTATGATGAAATATGTTGTCAACATATGTTTTTGAGTGAATTGGAAGAGGAATCAGTTAGAATTACGGCTTTTATATTCTTATATTTTCTGTTGGCTTATTTTTAAAGCTTCAACAGCACCGTATAATTGAGCACTGTATATGCTAAACTTTGTGATGAGATTTATGGATTTATCCTGGTTATATTGAACATCATATATCCCGAATGCAACTTTATTTTCATCTTTAGATGCCTGCATACATTTTTTGATAATTTTTATACTTTTCAGAAAATATTTTCAGTGTTTTCTGTTTTAGAACTGATTGTGGATAGTGTACTACTTTGGTCAAATCTGATGTGGGCTCCCCAAGTTACCCCTGTTATTGATTTTATAATGTTTAATGTTTTGGCTTCTTTGTTGTAATTGTTTTGGATGCATGTTCTAAAAGAAAGTCTCATGTCAAGATAAGCGCCTAAGAATTTTCTTGTATTCGTGACTTCTATTGCACCTCTATTTGTGTGGATAATTAATTGTGTGAAGTTTAATTTTCTTCTTTTTGTGAAAGGGATGATTTTGCATTTTGACATTTTAATTTGAATGTCAAGTGCGTGTAGGTTTCCTTCCAATGTATTGAATCCTTTTCACAGAGTATGATGCCCTTCTGATATATTTGAGCAAGTTGTATACAGTATTAGATCGTCAGCATATTGTAAAATTTTGCATTTATCGGGAGTACGCTTGACTATATAGTGTATATAAATATTGAATAGGATGGGACTTAAAGGATCCCCTTGGTGTAAGCCTGTATGTGAGTGATCCATAACTTCACGTTCGGATGTTTGCAAGTGGTATGTTCTAAATGAAAGGTCATTAATGATCCAATTAGTTATTAGAACTGCGAGGTTGATGTTTACCAAACATTTTTTAAATTAATTATGTTAACTTTATCATAAGCATCTTGGAGGTCCAATGAAATTGCTAGGAGGATATTTTTGTTTTTGTAATTTTCATATATTTCATTTATAAAAAACACAATGCTGTCGGTAGTTGAATGGTTTTTTTGAAAGCAAAACACGTTTTGACTTAATATTTGATTTTTTTTTTAGAAAAAACCCAAGTCTATGTTTGTTCATTATATTAAAAGTCTTGGCAAATTAAGACTTAAAATTATAATTATTATTTTGTTTTTAAATTATAATTTCTTTTTTCTTTATTTCACTTTTAATAATCAATCACGACTCAACAAATAGTAATTCTTCATCTTTAATATAAAATACCAGTGCTTTAAGAAAAATTAAAAACAAATGTTCTAAGCAAACAAAATATATTTAAATAGAAGTCTTCTAAGAATTCAAACCTTCAGAAATATGTTATAAAAAAAAAGATGTTTTAGGTAGAACAACTTGTATTCTTTTTTCTCTTCAACTCGCTACTCAAAATTACTTTGTTATAGTTAGTTTCTTTTTTCAAAGAAAATATCAAAATTCAAGGTAAACTATTGAGTTCAGGAAAAATTGCTGTAATTTCTGAGTCAAGAGTGGTCCATGAGCCTTGCACCATTTTCGGATGATCAAATCCTAATAAGTAAAAATAAAGAAGAGATCCTAACGATGGCAAAACAATTAAACAGCAATTAATAATAGCTGGAGAAAACATCAGGCTCAAAATAAATTATAAAAAGTGCCAGTATATATCACTGAATGTTGATGGAGATATAAAAATAGGTGAACATCATATAGAGAAAGTAGAAAAATTTCTATATCTTGGTCACCTTATCTCAATTAAAGGACAAACTGAAGAAATAATCAGGCGATGTACCCAGGGATGGCGCGCACTCTTCAAATTTAAGGATATATATACATTCTAGGTGAGCTCAAAGGTCAAGAGAAAACTTTGGATGAGTACACAGTACTTCATTTCAAGACATATGGTAGTGAAAGATGGGTAATTGACCAGAAGACTTGTCACAAATTGAACATAACTGTCAGAGGAATGGAGTGATATCTTCTCGGAATAACACGATGGGAAAGAAAAGCAAATGAATGGATTAGAGATAAGACTGTCCTTCTAGATATTGTTGAAAAAATGCACATCACCTGGACCAGACATGTAATTAGGAGGAATGATATAACATGGA